GTTTTGTGTTTTAAATTTCTGATGTCCTACTATCCCTTGCTGTCCTGCACAAGTTGCTCACTTGATTCTGAGAAATGTCCATATATGTATATGTATGTATATATATTTTATATATATATGTATATATATATATGTGTGTGTGTGTGTGTGTGTGTGTGTGCATGCGTGCGTGTATGTATGCATATACATGCACACACATAAAATTGCTTAGTAGTTTTTCTTTTGTGGAGGCCATAGTTCAACATTGGATGTTATTCCCTAGATTCTATCTGCTTTGTTTTTTGAGACAAGGTCTCTTCACTGGGATTTAGGCATCCAGAAATAGGCTAGGCTTGTGGGACAGTGAACCCCAAAGAGTGTTCTGTCTCTACCTCTTTAGAACTGAGATTACATGTGTGCTTGTACATGGATAGTGGGGACCAAATTCAGTTCCTTCATGTTTGCATGGCCAACAATAACCTAACTGGACTATTTCCCCAGCTCCAGTTTTCTGCTTTTAAATTCTTGTATAATTTACCCATTGGCTTTTGATCAGAATGAAGACATAGGTTACTTTTCCTAGTTTTTTTCTCAATGTAGGGAGTGAACATTCCTGTGTCAGTCTGCCTATCATGTGCAGTAGCTCTGAGGTGCATGAGGCAGGGGTGGAGTAGAGGGTTATGATGTAGCGTGTGCTTTCTGCAGTGGCTGGCCCAAGTTGTCCTTATGCTAGCAGGCAAGAGAATACTTTAACTCTGCATTTCAAATAGGCTCTGGTGTTCAGTTAGTAAAATGGTGGCCTTAAAAAAGTTAATGTACTATTTAATTTCTTGACATTCAGATTCCTTTCATAACTTCAAAGAAAAACATAATAAACAAGCTGGTGAGTGGAGGAAAACAAGAACAAAAACAAAACAAACAGGACAATGTAAGAAACAGTAAGTCAAAATGACTTTTATTGCCCTGCATAGATGTCTCTATGAAGTTCGATGCTATCTCATGAAAGAGACATCTGTGAATCTCTTAAGAGCAGCCCTGGTTGAAATGTTCACATAATAATCATTTTTCAGCCTTGTATGGGCCTGAACTAGTGGGTGTTTTAATAGGAGATATATTGCAAAACGAATGAAGAAATAGCAATGAAAGTTTCTGTATTAAATCAATCAAACTAGAATCAGCTTCTATAGTTATTGGATTGACCACCTTCCTGATAACTGTTAATGTCTTTTTACACCTTTCCTGTTTGTCTTGTTGTGTCTCCCTACAGCTACATGGTTACATTTCTTTTTTAAGGTAGGAGCCCATTCTCTTGCCTGGTTTCTCCTTTAATGTAACAATGGCAAATGTGACCCTGAGTGGCAATATTACTCATCTCAACCTTTAATCTCTTGTATTCATTTTGGGATTTTATTGTTAAACTGAGATGCCTGTCTCTATCTAGGAATGAAAACAGCTGATAAAATGTTCGTTTTCTTTTGCCCATAGTCCCTGCCAAATATGCTTATCCTTGAGGGTGTCATTACCCAGTAGTAAAGTCTCAAAACCTGTTCATTACCCTTGTCATCAGAATGTCCCCTTTTTGTCATTGACTCCAACTTCTTCCTTTCTGCCTTTACCATGACCAGTGCTGTGTGAGAAGATCTCATGGCTGTCACCTAGAACTCCTAGACCAAAAGAATGTGTCTTTGCCAGGTCACTGCAGTGGTTACCACATTTTCAAACTCAGTAAATACTAAACACGCTTCTCTTGATCAGTGACTCAGAACTGATTGATTTTTCTCACAACAGGGCATGATATTGGGACATTTCAGCGTCCTTCCCTACAAGTTACATCCAGGTTTGGGCCCTGCTGTGTAAGGTGAGGAGAACTTGGGAAATGAATGGGAAGGAGCAGGTCAGGTGTCCCCCACATGACATCGGGAACTTTATAACTCTGATGTTATAAAGCAAGGCTTTGTCACTTGCCTATTTTTTTCAGACAAATCTGAAAATGGATTGAAATTACTAAGTCAAGAAGATGGTGGTGCTAGTTCCATTCAGTTGCCTGTAGCCTTGAGAAATTCCTTAACAACCTAAGCTAATGACAGCATGGCCTGTGCCTAAATGAAATTACTCACAGATCCAAGGGACATTAAAACCTACTTTTTTTTGTTTTTCGAGACAGGGTTTCTCTGTGGCTTTTGGAGGCTGTCCTAGAACTAGCTCTTGTAGACCAGGCTGGTCTCAAACTCACAGAGATCCATCTGCCTCTCCCTCCCGAGTGCTGGGATTAAAGGCGTGCGCCACCAACGCTGGCTCTAAAACCTACTTTTTGAAATGGCCCTTTCCATTTTTTTAATAGATATTTGTATTTGTGAAAATTTTCTGAGTTGTTTGCTGTAGGCAAATACTTGTTTAAGCTTTGTGGGATACAGGAGAGTGGAAATAGATTGTCACTCGGGGAGGGAGGCATGTGTGGAAGTGATGGATGGGCCAGGTGGGGATGTCTTCCACAGTTGCTACAGTCCTAGCACATGCATGGTCCCACATGTCTCATGCAACAGGTGGCAGAACCAGCCACCAGCCATCCATCCAGAGTGACAAGTGTCCAGGATCTGGTCCCTCAGCAAACATGGTGCTGACTCCACAGAAATAAAGTTAGAGGGGTCAGAAGTCAACTTCTGTCCCTCTGCTTACTTCCATTGGAATGAGGAAACTTCTAGAACATTTGAGAAGGCCACAGATACCCTGCTTCACTCCGATGTCTGTCATGCCACCAGGTGCTCTCTGTTCTTGTTACTATTAGTCGCTTTTCTTTTTCAAGAGTACATGGTCTGCTGAGACTAAAGTGCAGCTTTACTGCTTATGGGATCTGGGGGAAGAACTGAGAAGGCAAGAAGATACTGTATGTGTCCATGGAGATAGACAAGGTCATAGGCAGAAGAACAGGGCTACTCAGCTGAATAAAACCCATTTCCTTCCTCTCTGCCTCATGTCCACTCAATGGGATTGTTACGTTAGTCCTGAGTTTTAAATGCAGTATTAAAAAGAGTAAATCCAGCTGGGCAGTGATGGTATATACCTTTAATCCCAGCGTTTGGGAGGCAGAGGCAGGAGGAGCTGTGAGTTCAAGGCCAGCCAAGACTTTTCACAGAGAAAAATGCTCCAAGCTGTTGGGATAGCCTGTGGTAGTATAAGGAGTAGGCACAGTTGGGCACAATCAGTTTCAGAATTCTCTTCCCTGGTGACTGGTTACTAGATAAAACTTTCTGGCCACACCCCGCTGACCTCTGGCCAGATGCCAGTAGTTCTACTGTGACCTTAGAGAGAGTGGTAGTCTCTCTCTCTCTCTCTCTCTCTCTCTCTCTCTCTCTCTCTTACACACACACACACACACACACACACACACACTTATCCGAAAAGCTGAGGAGGCTGCCTACCTGGAAGGGCTGCTGCCAACATTGACTAAATGACCATTTGCAATTGTTGGAGGTGTGCATGTGTATGCTGTAGATTCACTTAGCCTTGGTGATGTGCCCAGTAAGGAAATCATGCAGCTCAGGTTACCACTTCTTCCTCCTGCCCCTCAGACTCATCATTAAGTTTCAACTTCTTCTTCATCACAGGAAAGCAGATGCTCACACAGTTGATGACCAGAAACAAGGCACTGGCCCCCAGTGCATCAGGTCAGGTAAAATGAAGTGGCTGAGCGAGGCCTGAAGTCTTGCCTTGCTTCGGGGAGCATCTGCCTTCTGTGGGCCCAGAAATTTTAACTTATCTACAAAGTTAATGGACTTAATCGTGTGTTAGATTGTAATTAGGAATTCTTCCCAATAATGTTACTGATGTAGGAAAAGCTGTAAATCCTCTCAGGGCTTGGCAAGCTCAGGCATACAATAATGGGCTGCTGGGAGGAGGTGCTTGGGTTCTACTACATATTTCTGTGCACAGCAGTTCAATCAATATTGACGAACTGATCTCATAGAAAGAAGTTATGTGCATTAGGCTGCAGCTCATTTGTTCATGAGGCAGTGAAGGTGCTGGGAGTATTAGTGTCAGGGACTGTTCTGAAACATTGCTTTCTTCATAATGGAAAAGAGAAATAAATTATTTATTAAGAACTTTGGTCATAAAATATCCACTGGTCACTGGAGGCAATGAGATTAGCCATATCAAATGTGAGATAATATACAATTTGGGTTCACAGTTAATAATGATGCATGAGAAAAGAAAGCAGGAAACATTTTTTTTCAACAGGTCAGAAACACAGTGGTCATGTCGATTGTGATATCTGTTTGAAATTTCTAAGATTAGTGTGTTTATTTATTTTCAAGTTATTTGGAATATGCCATCGAGAATTAAGGATTCAGAAGCTTCTCTACAATCCATCTAATCTTTTAAGCATTTATGCCATTAAGAAGATCATGGAAGATCAGGGGAAAGCATTTTAAATGGAAAGTTTGGGAGCAAAGGAGAATGGCATTGCTTTATGTCACATCCTGCTTGTTTTTCTAAAATGTAATTAAATCTCATCTATTTGAGGGACCAATCAGACTTTTTCTCCAAGGAGGAAAATAACTTAGAAGCCCTGAGAAGGAGTGGGTACTTAAGGGACTTGGAATGCATGTGCCATTGTCAGGAAGGAGACAAAGGAAGCTTCAGTCTGCATGAAAGGAAAGAACCTAAAGTGCCACAACACTCCATTAACAGAGCCATTTAGAGCACAAATAGGGGCTAACCCTGGGCCAAAGGATCTCCACATGGTGTGTCAGGTGTGTCACAAACCAACCAAACAAAACTATGAGGACAAAAACAATGAGGCCACCTGTGTGTACTGTGTCTTTCTGCAGAGCAGAGTCCTAAGGATGCTGCTGCCTCAGGAAGGATGGCTTTATTTGACATTTATGATTTTTTTTTAACTTAAGCAAAGTCACAGCAGCAAGGAAAGGATTTAAGGAGAGCTTAAAGTGTTATTTGTGACAGGATCTCTTCCCTCTCAGCCATCTCCCTCCACCCCCCACCCCCCCCCCCCACAGCCCCCAGCTTTGTTTGTGTATTTTACTTGGTTGTTGTCTGTGTTTAAAATGTTTCTCTATAGTTTTCTGAGTCTTAGACCCTGGAGCCCAAGGTGTAGTCAGGGATTCTTATTACAGGTTGAAGGAAGTTTTCTGTTTGTTTTTAAAAGGGTGATTTACATACTGCTTTAAATTTGAGAATATTTGAATGAGACACATTTTAATAATTTGACCTTTGAAATAACAACAAAACAAGGTTATGAGTCCATTTTTGGGGGTGCTGGGGATGGAACTCAGGGTGTATGTTAGGCAGGTGTCCTGTGGCTGATCTATGTCTTCAGCCCTCTGAATCTGCTTTTTAAGGATTGATAATGTTAACAGTTATTGGGAGTAAATGCAGATTCACATTAGTTCACTAGCTAGACTCTTCCTGCCTAGCACTTTCCTTAGCACTAAGGAGTTATTTAACATACATTGAATAAATCAATGGAGCAACTCAGACACCCAGGCCATTGGGGAGACAAAACAGGATTTTTGAATGACATGATCATGAAAGCTTTTGAGTAAAGAAATGAAAAAGTTGATCTTAGCAATATCTTCATTTCAAAAGATATCTAACTTGCCTTAGAGAAACATATATTTCATTGTGTGTTTGTTTATACCTGTGCAGTAGTATTCATTGCAAGTGCTGAGCTTTGCCCAAGAACAGCAGTAAACTAACCGCCAAGGGGCTCTCTTGACATGTGGCAGCGTGACTGGTACCAGTTCAAAAATAGGCAGCATTCTCCACCTGACCATTTGTGCTGTTGTTACTAGAGCAAGATCTGGCTATTTCTTATAGCAAGAAAAGATTGTCTTGTTCTTCCAAACCCATTGTGGCAGGAAGTAGAAGGGCAGAAAGACTATGTTCAAATCTCAGCTTGTTCTTTCTCTGCTGGAGATCTTTTTTTTGTACTGGAGATCAGACCCACGGCTTCCTATGTACCAAACACATCCTGAGCTACACTTACAGGTGGTAGTTATGAGCCTCAGTTTACTCTGCTATGAAATGGCAATACTGTCAATTCCTGAAATGGCAAATCTTCTCAATCTGTACCAAGCTGTACAAACCCCTCAGTTCTGGCTGGCTGAGAATTTGCATGGGAATTGGATCTGGCTTAGGATGTCTACTTTTTTTGCTGATGAAGTAGCCTGTGGAGAAGGACCAAACAAAATAAAAATGAGTTGAGTTGATTGGAAGTTGATAGACAATAAATGATGCAGAAGGGGTGTGAACAAGCAGACAATTTGGAGAAAGGGAAAGGCAAGTTCCTTCTAGAGCTGAGGATTGTAACAGCCAGTGAAAGCTGGGAGGCTGGCAGTGTGAACAGCCAAGTAGACAAACCAGGAGCAACTAACTCAGAGCATTGTTGCTTGCAGTGAAAGATAAGAACAAAACAGACCTATGGATCCCTGACCGGTCAAGTCTCAGCCATGCTTACTCTACTATGAATTATGAAGTGAAATTCAAGTTCTGCTGAGGATAGTATATTTAGGACAGAAGAGAAACCTAAAATATGACTTAGAAAACTTTTAAAAGATTAAGATAACCATCTATATCATTTTAAATTTAAATCCCCATTACCTAGATTAAAAACAGCAAAGCTGGGCGGTGGTGCCACATACCTTTAATCCCAGCACTCAGGAGGCAGACGCAGGCAGATCTCTGAGTTTGAGGCCAGCCTGGTCTATAGAGTGAGTTCCAGGCCAGCCAGGGCTACACAGAGGAACCGTTTCTTGGAAAACCAACCAGCCAACAAAACAAAACAAAAACAGAGAAATGCATTCAGAATTAATTCACTTGCAAAGGCTGCAGCAATCTGATGAAGCTGCTCCCAAATTCACAGGCTAGCTTCTTCCAGATCCTGGGTTTAACACTTGTTTCCTTATCATCCAAACAGAAATAGCCTTATTCACCTCTGTAGAGTTCGAAAGAAGTTTAAATCAGATGAACCATAGAAGGCATTTAGTACAGGGCCAAGCCAGCATGTGTTAAATATTTTAGCTTTTAGTCTTGGCAGAGTTATTATCTGAAGTGTAACTGGTATTTTCCCTCCTTTGAATCTCCCCCTCCATTTACATTCCTTTAAGGTGCCTTGCCTGATCTTTACTCTCTCCTTTGGTCTTTCCTCTTCTTCTGTTGATTTTTCCAAACATTGCTTTTAACACAGTTAAAGCACTGCTTATAAAACAATGGGGAACAAAGTTTGCATGGTGGTGTATTGGCCCTGAGTATGTATTGGCCCTGAGTTCTTCTCAATTGTCCTTCTCTTGGCTGTTTGTTGGCTACTTGGCTGTCCTCTCCGTGCATGGACAGTGTTCCTTCCACAGTACTAAAACTCATGCAGCATAACTGTTTGGCATCCAGTGTCTCTGCACTTTAAGTATCCACTAGTGTCCCTCCAGCCTTTGTTAGGTCTACGTGTCGCCACTACTTTTCTCTTGCCTTCTCTTGCCTTTTCTAGCTGTCACATGTCTTTTGGCTTAAGAAAATGTCACCAGAACATTTGAGCAACGATACTGCATTTTTTATCGCATTTTTGAACATAACTGTAAGTTGAATGAATTTGTTCTCAGCAGAGAAGGCTTATGACATTTCTAAACAAACAAAAATAGCAGCTTTCACTGTGTCATGACTGCCACTCAAGAGTGTCCACTCAGGTGAGAAAGGCAGAGTTTTCAACTGAAGTTTAAAATGAAAATGTTGAGTTTCAGCCAACATCAGATGCTAGTCTTTATCTTGACAGTAGGCTTTGGAGATGTTGCGAAATTAAAATTCCATGACATGTTCAAAGTGGCCTTCTAGGAGCCTGGGTCTGTGCTGTATGATCTTTGCTGCACAGAGGAACAAGAATACAGAGGGGGTTTGAGTTTAACTTCTGAGAGTGACAAAAATTCCACTGATGAATACATTTGATTGACAGGTGTCAATAACAAGTATTCTGAATATGTTGAAGAGTCAGAGAACTTTGTGCATTTCACTAGTAATCTACCTAATTTTTAGTTTTCACTTAAGGTTCTATATATTTAAATATAAATCTGCTGGTTGGAAATATGGCTCAGTAGATAAAGAGCATGCCACATAAGCCTAAAGACCTGAATTTGATCCCCCAGAGCCCACGTGAAAATCTGGATGTGGTAACATGCATTAGTAATCTCAGAGATAGGGAGGCAGAGACAGGGGAGTCATGAGGTTTGCCTGCCAGTCAGTTTAGGTGAATTGAAGAGTTCCAGGTTCAGAGAAACTCTGTCTCAAAAAAATATGATGGGGGAGATTGAGGTAGACATCTGACATCAACCTGTGGCCTTTGCAGGCATGCTTACATGTGTGTGTGTGTGTGTGTGTGTGTGTGTGTGTGCATGTGTGTTCACATGGACGCACACAGGAGCACACACACAGGAGCACACACACAGGAGCACACACACAGGAGCACAGGAGCACACACACACACACACACACACACACACACACACACACACTAAATCCAATCTCCTTCCCTACCCCCTACATAAAATCTTGAGTGGCCTGTACATGCCTTCAGAAGAAGCCCAGTGTCTGCCACAGAACCAGCATATTTTAGAGGAGCCCTCACTGCCTAAGGTGCCTTTGCTCTGCCAAGGTCTGGTTCTAGGCAGGCTGGCCATCTTTCACTTTCTCAAGTGAACAAGCCAGCCCCTCCCTCCCTTCTTTCTCCTCCCTCCCTCAGGACCTTCCAGTACATTCTCCTCCTTTTTGGATGCACTTTCTCCCATTCTTTATGTGACCAATTGCTCCTTGTTCATTACTTCCCATTATTGCAGTTGCTTCCTCAACCATACCCTCTTACCTCATTTCCTGTTCTTTTCCTCTATAGCATTTACCACAGTTTACAATTGCATTCATGTGTTTTTTTTTACCTCATTCACAATAAGTGCCTAGCAAATAATGAGCAACCAAAAACTAAGCATTAAGTTCATAAATCCTCATGTATACCAGTCTAAGAAAAAAGTAAACAACGAAAATAGTAGGTTGTCCTTGCACACTTTTGGTGTCTAACCTAAACAATCTGCTCCTTGGAGAACTTCCTCAAAGAAACTACTTTAGTCTCTCTCTGCCTTTTTGTTCGTTTTAAGGCAAGATCTCCCTATATAACCCAAGGTGGCCTCTCCTATAGCATCTTCTTGCCATAGCTTTCTAAGTGCTAGGATTACAGGCATGAGCCAAAACTCTCAGCTTCCATTATAGTATTCTCTTCATTTGAACAGCAACAACATAGACAAGTGTGATTTATGAGCTAGATGGAACAACAAACAAAATTTGTGTTGTAGGCATAGATTCTGTCTTGATAGGACTCATAAGCTGAGATAAGCATTTATCTAACTAGCTGGAGGACAACTGGGAAGTTTTGTACAGCAGAAGACTCCCAGGGGCTGTTTTGTGGAGAGGTGGCTAGGGAAAAAGATGAGGCTAAAGCTCGGGGGCTTGAGAAAGGAACCGGATAATTTTGTTGCATGCTGAGGTTGAAAGACTGCTCTTGACACAAAAAGGAAAATGAGCTAAGACAGAGGGGCATCAGAGTGTGTGGTATGTTTGGAAAATTGTGGGCAGCTCTGTGTGGCCAGGGTGGGTGTGAGGGTTCGCATAGAGTGACAGGAAATGGCGTTGGAACAATAGGCTTTGGTCCTGACCCATATGAGGTGGTTTTGCCAAGGATCATGGGTATGTTGTTGTAGGGGAGAGGAGGCCTTCATATTCTCTAATCCTGGAAGTGAGCAGATCTGAGTTGAGACAGCATGACAAGCTCTTTGTGACAGCCTTTCTAAGACAACCTTCAGAATGGGGTAGTTAGGGAGTGGGAAGTGACAGATGCCATGGCAAAAGCCACACCCTGAAAGAGTTTGTTACAGGTAAAGAAATAATGGAAGCATCACTTTAAAAATATTTCCTTTTTTTAAATTGTGAAGGTAATATATGCTTAGTAGAGAAAATTTGGAAAATGTAAAAAATTGTGAATAAAGATTACAAGGGGGAAATGTTCTTAAAGTAGTTAAGAGTGAGAAGAGGACTTTTGGAAGGATCCAGAACATTTTTAAACTTTATTCCCTTTTTCTTTTTAGATCCTAATTCTATTCACCTAGATCACCAGAAGCTTTGAATATAATTTGTGTGCAAATTATGCAATTTCGTATGATTTTGTCTCTGTCTTGAATAGTTCTTAATACCACCTCTCTCCTCTTTCTTTTTGCTAGCCAACTTTTGCTTTTCCACACAGATTAATAATTAAAAGAATCACAATCATTATAGTAACTGTAAGATAATTGTAGAAACATATATGGATGATTTATGCAGTGTTTATCACTGTCATTCATGATTTCATTTGTCATCTATTCTAATCATCACAAAAGTTCCACAAGGTAGGTACTATTTCTCCATTCTAAAGGTAAAGATACTAAAGTTTTATAAATTAAGTGATTTGAGCAAATATAAAGAATAATACTTTCTTAGGAAGCTGTGCTCCTCCTTCCAAATTAGGAGCCCCTATTCCTTTTTTTTTTTTTTCCTGAGAAGCTTTACTCTTATGAATAATTGTTCATTACCATCCAAGATGTGTTGCATAGACACTGAACCCTGTGGCAACAGGTCATGTGTCTGCTCTTCCCGATTAATCTGACCAATGCTTAGCTTGGTGACTTCTGGCCCATGCTATGTTTATGGTCATTACCCCTATGAGAAGGCCAGTCTATGCCCATCACACAGTGACCTGACAAAACATGGACTGGAAGGGACTCAACAGTCCTCAGTGGAACAGACAACAAGGAGACTCTGAGATAAGGATGATGATATTTCCTAGGGGCAAGGAGACCTCCAGATCAAACTTGCTTTTTCATAATCCATGGGGCCTTCTCAGAAGCCACCAGACTTTGTGGGTCTTGATTACATCCCTATATATCTGCAGAAGACAGGACCTCTAGGCCAATCCACATTCTCACTCAGGTCTCCTTTATGGGATTCAGGTGTGTTTTACACTTAGGTTTGATCCATCTGGTTTGAACTGAGTGCTCGTAAATTGAGGACAAATTAGATGGAAATCATAGAAAAGTAATTTATGAGATATTGGTATATTAAAGTTTTATTCTCTTATTTTGTCTAATGAAGTTCAGTGAAAGTAGATTTGGAAGTTATTAATAAAAAAGCACTGAAATGAAAAATTATTAACATTGATATTGTAATTCAAATTTAAGCTCTAAAGCAAATGCTGTTTGGATTAGCTCAGAACCTGATGCTTCTTTATTCCATTTACCAAAGGAGATTCAAAAACCATGAAGCACTAGAAGGCAAACTCTTGGCTTTTCTGAATCAGGATGGTCTGACACCATCAGAGTCCAGAGAAACCCTTCAATTAGTCTAACATGAGCAAAAATATTCGAAGGATTGTTTAACAGCTAATATAGGGGTATCCAGAGAAGAATCTTATGACTGCTTTTGTAGTTTTAGACATTTGAGGGTTCTCCGCTCTTAACAAAATAGCCCAGGCACAGAATTTAGAAAGGTCCTCGACACAAGCTGCAAAATTTTGGCTCAGGAACAGTTCAGTCTTATCCTTGCCTTCTTGTTTATTTTTAGACCAGGAAAGGAAGACAGCTTTTCCTGCCTTTTCAGTTTCCTGATGATATCTCAGCTCGCCCTGATTCAGTTCAAAGGAAAAGCTTTCTGCACCTGTTCAACTAGTGTCATTACATGCAACTAGTTAATGGACTCAAGCCATTTCACTTTATTTACAAATCATGCAACTTCCTAAAATCTTCTTAGTCTAAGGTTTATTAGAGCTGATACTATGGGAATAACTTTGTGTGCTGATAGTTTGGAAAGGGATATAAAGGTAATTATTGTAAGACATAGTGAAAGGACCTCCTTATATTATTTTGCTACTCTCTCTATTAAATGTTGTTGCTTTTGCCTGAAATTAAATTACTAGTGCTATGTTCTTATTTACTGACTTATAAAATATCTGTGAATATCTACAATTATTCATCCAACAGAAGCTTCCTCAGAGTGCTGGGTGCTAAGGACTCGGTGGTGACGGAGACTCAGCACACAATCTCCAAAAGGAGATTGCTTATCCTAGGCATAATTCAGTCGGCGGTAAGAAATCCTGCAGAATCTCTTGGATACCCGGTGCTCAGAGGAGCCATCCTCAAGCACAGCTTGATCTTCAGATCTTTCAGTCCTGTTTCGGCAGGCTAGCTAGGAGTCTAGAAAGAGCACGCTGAGATTATTCATCAACCCATTTGTGCTCAAACACAAACAGACTTTGTGGTAGGAATATCCTGTGCTACATATGGGTAATATGAAAAGTAAAACCATTGCCAAGTCAGCTGTGGTGGTATGTATCTGCTAATCCCAGCATTTACAAGGTTGAGGCAGGAAGATTATGAATTCAAAGTCAGCCTGGGCTAAGTAATTAAACCCCAGCTCGAGGAAAAAGGAAAAGAAGAAAGGAATCACAATGCTGCCTGCCAGGAACTCACATTTCAACTGGGAGCATGAATAAGTAGGATTTTACCATCCAGTATAGCAAGCAGTTTTTTGTACTTATATAACTACACTTTTTATAATGGAGTGGTGTAGTGTTTTCTTACCCCCTCTTTATAATACCGGCCCTAATGAGATCAGTTAGCAGAGCCTTTCCTGGAAAACCCCTGTGGAGCAGCAACCTTGTTAGATTTTCCTCCTGCAGCTCTTTCCCAGCCTCCTTTGTAGTCTGTTTGGGGCCCTGTAATGTCTACCTCATTCTGGGCAGGGAACCCTCTCCACGATCATTTCTGATCTTTAACTTTTCTAAGTTGATCTTGAA